GTCGCTGGGCAACACGGACTGTGAGAGCCAGAAATCTTGCTTGTTTGTAGGTGACCAAATACTTATTTTCCACCATAATTTGCAAATAAATTCTTTCCAGATCAGCCAATGTGATTGTCTGGATTTGTTTTCTCATTTTGTCTCTCATAGTTGAGGTCTCCCTATGATGCCAATTACAGGCCTCTCTCATCTTTGTAAGTGGGAGAACTTGTACAATTGGTGGTGACTAAATACTTTTTTGCCCCACTGTATATATAATACTGTAGATTTGACGCTCCCAGCCCACTACTTTCTAGAACTATCAAGAAAACGGGGGGAAGCAGCCAAACTCACAGTCTGTGGACCTCAGAGCAGACCAGAGTAACCACAAGCAGCTCCACGGATTGCAGAAGAGCTAAAGGACTAAATTTACCTAACCTAGCACCTCTTTAGGAAGGTACTACAGCAGCAACAGAGCAGTTTTTGGCAGAGCAGATGAAATTTTTTTTTTTTGGAGGGGCTATTGGAGGGACTGTATTGAATTTAGGGGAGGATATGTAGAATATCTGGCAAGCTCCGTTGTTCTAGCTCAGGGGTGGGCAAACTTTTTGACTTGAGGGCCGCAATGGGTTCATATATTGGACCCGGGGGCCGGACCAAGAGTAGATGAATGATGTGTATGTGTCATCCATAGTAAGTATAGTAATATTCCCCCATAGTAAGCATAGTAATTAATCCCCCATATAGTAATTCATCCCCCATATAGTAATTTATCCCCCATATAGTAATTCATCCCCCATAGTAATTAATCCCCCATATAGTAATTCATCCCCCATATAGTAATTCATCCCCCATATAGTAATTCATCCCCCATAGTAATTAATCCCCCATATAGTAATTCATCCCCCATATAGTAATTCATCCCCCATAGTAATTCATCCCCCATAGTAATTCATCCCCCATATAGTAATTCATCCCCCATAGTAATTCATCCCCCATATAGTAATTCATCCCCCATATAGTAATTCATCCCCCATAGTAATTCATCCCCCCTATAGTAATTCATCCCCCATAGTAATTCATCCCCCCTATAGTAATTCATCCCCCATAGTAATTCATCCCCCCTATAGTAATTCATCCCCCCTATAGTAATTCATTCCCCCATATAGTAATTCATCCCCCCTATAGTAATTCATCCCCCCTATAGTAATTCATTCCCCCTATAGTAATTCATCCCCCCTATAGTAATTCATCCCCCCTATAGTAATTCATCCCTCATATAGTAATTCATCCCCCATATTAATTCATCCCCCATATAGTAATTCATCCCCCATAGTAATTCATCCCCCCTATAGTAATTCATCCCCCATATTAAGTCCCCAAGTCCCCCCAGTGTCAATTTACTTACCTTTGCTCCGCGCGTTCCTCTCGCCGTGTTCCCGTGCCGTTCCGGTCTTCAGGGCGGACTGTGAGAGGAGCCTAGCTCCCCTCACGTTCATCACGCTGCCCCGCCTACACACATCCTGACAGCCATCCTGACAGTATCACGCTCCACGGGCCGGATTAAAAGGTCCGCCGGCCCGTATACGACCCGCGGGCCGTAGTTTGCCCATTGCTGTTCTAGCTCATTTCCTTCTTTGTTGAGCCAAGATCTTTACAGCCCCATCCTTCGTAAAGTGTGTATAACTAAACGTTGAAGTTTTTTAATAGAGTAGGGAAGGGTTAAAACCCTTCAATGTCTGTGTACCAGGAAATTTCCCTTTACTTTCTGTCTCAGAGTTGCGATAAGAAGTTAGAGAAAATCTCTACAAAGGGAGGGACAATTCCAGTTCTAACTGGAACAGGTGTGCCCATTGGAAGATTTCCAGATGATGACTCTAAAATTTTGGATTTCCCATCACTTTGGTCACCAGTCCAAAGAGAGAGGTGAATGTTCCCACTGGGGACACGGCCAAAAATATACATTTGTTTGGAGGAATTTAACCCTTACGCACTCTGCAATTTCTCCTCCTCATTCCATTCACGTTTTCTTGTCCAACGAATCGCTGGTTTGTAGGACATACTGTACATTGTCCCTTTTTAATGCTTATACAGTTCCAACCATTCCCCGGGCACACCCTGCCACACAATAGATGAATATGTGTATGAGCCAATAAATGTGTCAGTAAATAGTAGTGATCAGATTTGTGACGGAAACTATTAAGCTGTGTTGGCACCCAAACCAGCTCAAAACCTGAAACCCAAACTAAACCAGTTACAAAAAAAAATGAAATGCAAAAGACTCCGGGCACACCTTGGTAGATGCGATGAGGATAACAAATGCAATCAAAAAATTCCATCAAGGTCATGTCTATCAGTATTATATAAGAAAACCACAACTGGTTCTTCATCAGGATGACAACTCTACATCTGCTTTGGTTGGGGAACAAAGAATGCTGAGACTAAACTCATCTTTACTCACAAATTCTGGATACAAAGATCAGATCAACCATGAACCTCTTTTTTCAGTTGAAAAAGATGATGACATAGATAATTTGTTACTATGGAATACCCATAAAGCGGTCTTGAGAGGCATCTTAATTAACCACTTGACCTCCTGAGGATTTACCCCCCTTAATGACCACGCCTCTTTTTGCTACTCGGCGCTGCACTAATTCAACTGATAATTGCGCGGTCATGCAATGCTGCACCCAAACGAAATTTACGTCCTTTTTCTCACACAAATAGAGCTTTCTTTCGGTGGTATTTGGTCACCTGTGTGCTTTTTATTTTTCACGCTATAAACAAAAAAATGCCAAAAATTTTGAAGAAAAACAATATTTTTTACTTTCAGCTATAAAAAATATATAGTAAACTCAAAGTTGGTTATAAATTTAGGCCAAAATGTATTCTGCTCCATGTTTTTGGTAAAAAAAAATCCAAATAAGTGTATATTGATTGCTTTGTGTGGAAGTTATAGCGTCTACAAACTATGGGATAGATACTGTAATTTACGCCATTTTTCTGCTATACAGTACTACGCTAGTTTAACGGACAATTGCGCGGTCATGCAATACGGTACATAAATGAAATTTACATCCTTTTTTTTCCCACAAATTGAGCTTTCTTTCGGTGGTATTTGATCGCCTGTGCGGTTTTTATTTTTTGCGCTATAAAAAAAAAGGCTGACAATTTTGAGGAAAAAAAAACAATATTTTGGACTTTTTGCTATAAAACATGTCCAGTAAAAAAAAATGTAAAAATCAAATTTAGTCATAAATTTCTGCCAAAATGCATTCTGCTCCATGTCTTTGCTAAAAAAAAACCCAATACGTGTAAATTAATTGGTTTACATGAAAGTTATAGCGTTTACAAATGGCGGGAAAGATACTGGGATTTTTAGGTTTTTTTAATACTAATAATGGCGGCGATCAGAGACTTATGGCGGGACTGCAGCGGACATTCTGCCATTGGGGGGTACTGACTTGGGGTCACTGACATCCCCAGTGACACCAATACAGTGATCAGTGCAAAAAAAAAACACTGACACTGTACTAATGGCACTGGGGAGGAAGGGGTTAAGTTTATTTTGCAGGGAAGGGTTATCTTAGTGAGGGGGGAGTGTTTTAATAGGGGGCGGGGGGGTGTGCTGTGCTGCAGGGAACATTGCTGATTAGGAGAGAGAAACTCTTCTGCCCCGATCAGCGTGTCCTGGAGCTGTCAGGGAACTGACAGAAAGCACAGCTACTGCAGCTGTGCTCTCTGTCAGCGATTGCCGCAGATCGCCGGGACATAGCCGGTAACGACCGGCTGTGACCCGGCGACTGACATCCACGGCTGTGATCGGCGGGACAGGTGCCTCGTGCGTGCCCCCTACCTGTTTACAAAACACGTTTTAAAATGTGCTTTAGCCGTGCCGCCCTGCCACCGTATTTCTACAGTGGCTGGGCGGCAAGAGGTTAAGATGGGTGCATATGAGAAAAGGAAGAAAGCCAAAGAGATATCTGACTCGCTACTCCAAATTCAACTCCTATAGAAAAAACGCAAGTCCACGCTAGATGCTGATACAGCTATGGGCTCCATGTACACATCTTCAGTCGTTTACAGGCAGTTGATTTTACAGTTGTTTTTTTTAACGCACCAAACTTGCGTTCAGGGGTATATTTTACCGTTGTTTCAAACGCTTGTAAACGTGGTTAACTGCGTTTATAAGCATTTGCATTTAGAAGCGTTTTTTAACCACTTCACATCCGGACACTTTCCCCCCCTTCCAGTCCGGACACTTTCCCCCCCTTCCAGTCTGGACACTTTCCCCCCCTTCCAGTCTGGACACTTTCCCCCCCTTCCAGTCCGGACACTTTCCCCCCTTCCAGTCTGGACACTTTCCCCCCCTTCCAGTCCGGACACTTTCCCCCCCTTCCAGTCCGGACACTTTCCCCCCCCCCCCCCCCCCCCCCTTCCAGTCCGGACACTTCCCCCCCCCCCCCCCCCCCCCCTTCCAGTCCGGACACTTTCCCCCCCCCCCCCTTCCAGTCCGGACACTTTCCCCCCCTTCCTGTCCAGGCCAATTTTCAGCTTTCAGCACTGTCACACTTTGAATGACAATTGCGCGGTCATGCAACACTGTACCCATATGAATTTTTTTGCATTTTTTTGAGACAGATAAAACTTTATTTTGGTGGTATTTATTCACCACTGGGATTTTTTTTTTTTTTTTTTGCTATATAAATGAAAAAGTCCAAACATTTTGTAAAAAAGTGTTTTTCTTATAAAATTTTGCAAATAAATGATCTTTCTTCATAAATCTTGGCCAAAAAAGAGAAAGCCGAAGATGTCGGCTCGGTCATGTGATCAGCTGTGTCCAATCACAGCTGATCACATCTAAACACGGAAATGCCGAATTATCGGCATTTCTCTCCTCTCGAGCTGTCACGCTGACAGAGGAGAGGAGAGCCGGTAATTGGCTTTCTGCGGAGGGGACATGAACACTGATCATCAGGGCACTGATCAGTGTGACCTGATGATCAGTGTGGCCCCAGAAGTGCCACCTGTCAGTGCTCATCAGTGCCACGTGCCAGTGCCCATCAGTGCCACATCAATGCCACATATCAGTGCCCATCTGAGCTGCCTTTCAATGTTACCCATCAGTGCCAGTCAGTGCCACCTATCAGTGCTGTCAATCAGTGCCACCTATCAGTGCTGCCAATCAGTGTCACCTATCAGTGCCAGCCAGTGTCACCCATCAGTGCCAGTCAGTGCTGCCTATCAGTGTCGGTCAGTGCCACCTAACAGTGCCAGTCAGTGCCGCCTATCAGTGCCATATATCAGTGTCATGTATCAGTGCTGCCTTTCAGTGCCCATCAGTGATGCCTGTCAATGCCCATCAGTGCAACCTACCAGTGCCTCCTCATCAGTGCCCATCAGTGCCACCTATCAGTGTCCATCAGTGCAGCCTATCAGTGCCCATCACTGCAGCCTCGTTAATGCACATCAGTGATGGAGAAATATCACTTATTTACAAAATTGTCTAACAAAAACTAAGAAAAAACATTTTTTTTTTTTCAAAATTTTCAGTGGTTTTTGGTTTGTTTAAGAAAAAATATCCCCGAGGTGATTAAATACCACCAAAAGAAAGCTCTCTCAAAAAAATGATAAAAATTTAATACGGGTACAGTGTTGCATGACTGCACAATTGTCATTCAAAGTGTGACAGCGCTGAAAGCTGGAAATTGGCCTGGGCAGGGAGGGGGTATAAGTGCCCTGTAGGCAGGAAGGGGGTAGAAGTGCCCTGTAGGCGGGAAGGGGGTAGAAGTGCCCTGTAGGCGGGAAGGGGGTAGAAGTGCCCTGTAGGCAGGAAGGGGGTAGAAGTGCCCTGTAGGCGGGAAGGGGGTAGAAGTGCCCGGTGGGCGGGAAGGGGGTAGAAGTGCCGGTGGGCGGGAAGGGGGTAGAAGTGCCCTGTAGGCAGGAAAGTGGTATAAGTGTTCTGTAGGCAGGAAGGGGGTAGAAGTGCCCGGTAGGCAGGAAAGTGGTATAAGTGTTCTGTAGGCAGGAAGGGGGTAGAAGTGCCCTGTAGGCAGGAAGGGGGTAGAAGTGCCCCGTAGGCAGGAAGGGGGTAGAAGTGTCCGGTAGGCAGGAAGGGGGTATAAGGGCCCTGTAGGCAGGAAGGGGGTAGAAGTGCCCTGTAGGCAGGAAGGAGGTAGAAGTGCCCTGTAGGCGAGGGGTTAAATGCGTATTATCTTTACGCATCTGGTGAGTGCGTATTCTTACCCCACCTTAAAAGCACAAACACTGACGTACCGCCATAGTGGGCACTCTACACACGGGTCGTCACCTTATTTATATGGACATTATTAATATTAGTTACCTATTTATAGCGCTGCACTTTATTTATTTATTCATTCTGGGCATTTGGGAGGATCTCCTGAGGTTATCTTTTAAAACCGCTTCTGAACACAAATGTTCATAAACGCGGTATGCAAACGCGGCTAAACTGAGGTTTTTTTCATTTCAATATTTTTAATTGTGTTTTTCACATAAACAGAAACAATCACATACGTTGTTACAGTAATCAACTGAGACATCATTTTAAGGTCGTGAAACATTTTCAGAAAAGTATTGCCATGTTATGACCAGGCCGTGTCCTTGACTTTCAGATATAGTTCTTTCTTTCAGAGTTGTAGCAAAAATAGATTAGAAAACATATAAATAACGTAATAGAACAAACTGACATTCTTCATCCTACGTTTTCCAGCAGTCGGTTTCCATTGTTCTGAAGAGTTTTCCAAACGCCCCGTGTACATGGAGCCCTAAAACCCTCTGTGACCCACGACAATCCCTCGCTGAATGTTTACTTAGCAAGTGTGAATATGGACTTAACAAAAATCGAAGCTTGATTTTTCTACCCGAGCAAACAAAGCAGGTACACTTAGCAAAACAAAAGAAACAGGAAATAGGGAAATCCAATACATCCTCTTACTAATCCTTTACAGATGGCCAATGCTTTAAGCAAATTGTATGCATCTTTATGTGATCTTAACCAGTACAGCCCGGCCAATAGCCAAAAGGCGGCCGGCAAAATGTACTGCATTTCCAGGTTGGACGCCAAATGGCGTCCTCCCGCACATGCGCACTTTGCGCTCCTGCAGAGCCGCACGGCGACGCGATCTGTCACCGGCCGTGTACCTCGGACACGGCCGATGACAGATCTGAGTACCGGCCTCTGTTGCCGGTACCATGTGACCTGCTGTGACCAATACAGCAGGTCACATGACAGTTGTGTACAATGGATGGCTTCATTCATGCCATCCATAGTATACTAGTGCCTAGCTGTGAATGATCACAGCTAATCACATGCACATGTCATGTGATTAGCTGTGGCCAAATCACAGCTAAAAACAAAAAAAAAAAAAAAAAAACCCTGAATGAATCGATTTCATTCAGGTAAATGCTTGCTTATAGCAAAGTAATTCTTTGCTATAAGCAAATTGTGTAAAAAAAAAAAAAAAATACTGATCACTTCCCCAAAGTAGTACAATGTTACTATGGTATATGAAAAAAATCTTTAAAAAAAGAAAAAAAATGTAATAAAAAATTAAAAATAATAATAAAAAAAATATATATATATATATTTTTTTTTTTCACACTGTCACCAGTCCGTGTCCCTGATCACCGCCATGCCAGTTATATGATGACGCTGTACTGCACTGGTGACAGTATGTAAAAAAAAAAATAGTGAAAATAATTTTTTTGCATTTTTTCATTATACGAAAAATTATGACAAAAAAAATACAACTTCAAAAAACTTGCCATGCCTCTTATGAAGTACGTCGGACTGTCTACTCTGCAAAAAGGGGTCATTTGGGGGATATCTGTACTGTCCTGACATTTGGGGGATATCTGTACCGTTCTGACATTTGGGGGATATCTGTCCTGTCCTGACATTTGGGGGATATCTGTACTGTCCTGACATTTGGGGGATATCTGTACTGTCCTGACATTTGGGGGATATCTGTACCGTTCTGACATTTAGGGGATATCTGTACTGTCCTGACATTTGGGGGATATCTGTACCGTCCTGACATTTGGGGGATATCTGTACCGTCCTGACATTTGGGAGATATCTGTACCGTCCTGACATTTGGGGGATATCTGTACCGTTCTGACATTTGGGGGATATCTGTCCTGTTCTGACATTTGGGGGATATCTGTACCGTTCTGACATTTGGGGGATATCTGTACCGTTCTGACATTTGGGGGATATCTGTACCGTCCTGACATTTGGGAGGATATCTGTACCGTCCTGACATTTGGGGGATATCTGTCCCGTCCTGACATTTGGGGGATATCTGTACCGTCCTGAAATTTGGGGGATATCTGTACCGTCCTGACATTTGGGGGATATCTGTACTGTTCTGACATTCTTGGACCTCAAGAAATTAGATTGGCCGTCAGTACTTCAGGACTGATCAATATTCAGATATATACCATAGTTTGTGAACTCTATGTGTTTTTTTTCTAAATTTTCGGTCTTTTTTTGTTAATTTAGCAAAAAATAAAAACCCCAGCTGTGATTAAATACCACCAAAAGAAAGCTCTAGTTGTGTGAAGAAAATAATAAAACTTTAGTTTGGGTACAATGTTGTATGACAGCGCAATTGTCATTCAAAGTGTGAGAGCGCTGAAACCTGAAAATTGGCCTGGGCAGGAAGGGGTAAAATTGCCCGGTATGGAAATGGTTAAAGAATCCCCAAAGTTTCAGCCCCCTAATGAGGATCAAATTAATGTCTTTCTAAATTCTATATCTCTCCCCTCACTATCTGCATTTCAACAAGCCTCTTTATCTGAACCATTTACAATCGGTGATATATGTAAGACTATACATCACCTTCCTCCCCGTACATCACCTGGCCCGGACAGGTACACTAATGAAGACTTTCTCAGAAACTCCAGCACTGTATTCATGTGACGCAGCTAATCAAGCGGCTATAAGAGGTTCTTTCCCCAAGGAATCCTTAGAAGCTCTCATTGTTGCAATCCCCAAGCCAGGGAAATCGCTTTCAGAGCCCACAAATTTCAGGCCCATATCTTTATTAAATACAGACCTTAAGATATACAGTTGTGCTCAAAGGTTTGCATCCCCCGGCAGAAATTGTGAAATTTTGGCATTGATATTGAAAATACGACTGATCATGCCAAAAAAAATGTTCTTTTATTGAAGGATGATGATCCTATGAAGACATTTCTTATCACATAGTTGTTTGGCTCCTTTCTAAATCATAATGATAACAGAAATAACCCAAATGGCCCGGATCAGAAGCGGGGGCAGACTGACAACTCATGGGGCCCCCAGACAATAGGGGATCATGGGGCCCCTGTGTCCTTGCCCAAACTCAAAAAAGCCTATGAAAAAGGTACCAGAGGCATCTCATGGGGCCCCCTACTGACCCCGAGCCCTCAGGCAGTGCCCAAGTTTCCAAATGGTCAGTCCGCCCCTGATCAGAAGTCTCCACCCCCCGGATCAGAAGTCTCCGCCCCTGGATCAGAAGTCTCCGCCCCCCGGATCAGAAGTTTCCTCCCCTGGAATGTTTGGCCTTGGTACAGACACACAAGGTGACACACACGGGTTACAATGCCAATTAGAGGTTAATGTCCCACATCTGTGGCTTTTTAAATTACAATTAGTGTCAGTGTATAAATAGTCAGTGAGTTTGTTAGCTCTCACGTGGAAGCACTGACTAGGCTAGATACTGAGCCATGGGGAGCAGAAAAGAACTGTCAAAAGTCCTGCATAACAAGGTCATGAAACTTTGTAAAGATGGAAAAGGACATATAAAGATGTCTAAAGCCTTGAATATGCCAGTCACTACTGTTAAATATATATATAGACAATAGTGAGCGCTCTCCTGTGTAGCAGCTAGTACACTCAGGTAACCAAAAGAAACCTCAGAAATACAAAGAGGCTCACAATTTTGGAATGGTCAGTGCACCTGTCATCCCTTTTAACTGAATATTGTCTGTGAATACAATTAAGTGAATTTAAATTTACTACACTATGGGCACAATTCTTATGGCTTCTTTATGGAGCCTTTCAGCCTGCAGAGCCTGTGAAGAGTACCAGTCTGAACGAGTATCCAGAGGAAGGGAATCCCTGTAAACAGGTGGCAGACCCTAAAGGAGACCTCTGGAGCCAAGCAGACATCTTCCACCGACCGCAGAGCTGCCCATTCCTAGACGGATGTTCTACAGATTACCATCACACGTCGTTACCACTAGTCCCTAACGAGGAATTTTTCATATGCGCATATTCGATGCGCATCTGGTGAGCGCACAATCCTACCATTTTCGTCAGCTATTTTCTACATTGGCGGATTCCCGGATTACTCATATGTTTTTAGA